TATCAGGAGTCCTGGTATAGCACTGTGGGTTAATGCACCAGACTGCAAAGCGGTCTGAACTGCAAGGTTGGGCCGTTCAAACTCACCTATGGATCATCCGAAACCCTGTACAGGGTCACTGACTCGGCGGCACTTAACAACAACCACAACATGTATATGCTTATATGTGCTCTAGCTATTTTACTGAAAATTTCTCCCATTTTTTTCTTAAACTAGGCCTTCCAGGAACAAAGGCCAATTTTTGTTTTGGACTGCTAGGAAATCTATTTGTACCAGTCCATACAGTAAGTTAATGGAGGGCTATGAAACTTTGGCATTCCAGTCCTCGAATTAAAAAGTTTTCAGTAATTTTTCTATTATTTATTGTGTCTAGAATTTCCAAATAATGCTATTAAAAACCAGTTTTTGAAAGAAAGTTTTCCAGAAATCTGAGGCCAGTGTTGATTTACATATATATTAAACCTAGATGGGAGCCTTGGTGTGGTGGATAAGCACTGACTTGCCAACCATAGGGTCAGCATTTCAAACCCACTAGTCACTTCTTGGAAACCCTATGCTGGATTGTACTTAATAACAGCTACAAACCCAGAAATGGAGTCAGTCTTCTTTTGAAAGATAAACATCATAAAAGAGTGAAGTTTCTGCTCTATAGCTGCTTTTATATGCAGTTTAAGAATTCAGGACCCCCACTGGCACCTTTTCAGGAAACTACTTTTGGTCTAGAATTTTCCTTAGAAAGCCCTTCTTGCCTCTATTCTTCTAAGAGCCATGTAAATATGTTGTTGTTGTTGTTGTTCGGTGCTGTAGTAGTTGTTGTTAGTGTCCGTGGAGTCGATTCCTACCTATAAAGACCTTATAGGTTTTCCAGGGAGCAGCTGGTGAGCTTGCTTGAACCACCCACCTTGTAGTTCAAACGACTTTGCAGTCTGTCACGTAAGCCCACAGTGCCACACCAGGACTCCAGGTGTTGTAGAAGACTTAACTAAAACCTTTAGTTAGGATTGTCAGGCTTATATATTTACTCACTAACTTAAACTGAGGACTTCTGCTGTGCTGCTGTAGGATAAGCACTGTACTGCGAACCATAAGGCCAGCAGTTTAAATTTACCACCTGATTCTCAGATACGCTATACAGGTTGCTATAAGTCTGAACCAATTTGACGGCATTTAGCAACAACAGCACAGGGCAGCAAGAGTGAGCTTTATTGTGAACTGGACATTTGTAACCAGGGAACTCCTGGTGTGATGCTGTAGAATCAGCACTGGACTGCAAACCACAAGGTCAGCATTTCAAACTCACCAGCTGCTCCTCAGAAGCCCTTTAGAGGGTCACTGTGAGTTGGAACCAAATTAATGGCACCTAACAACAGGAGCTCTGGTAACATACTGGTTATGAATTGGGCTGCAAACCTCAAGGTCAGCAGTTCGAAACTACCAGCAGTTCCACTTTGAGTCGGAACCGACTCCACGGCACATAACAACAACAACAACTAAAACTGATGTGGTGCTGCAGATAATGCACTAGACCACAAAGTCAATTTGAACCACAAGGTCAGCAATTCAAACCCATCAGCCACTCCTTGGAAACCCTATATAGGGTTGCTGTGAGTTGGAGCTGACTGTGTGTGGCACTTATCAACAACAACTTAAACTAAATTGTCATAGAAGGCGAACTGTTTCAGAGGTAGGGGGGAACACTGGTCATTGCTGATGACTGAGGAATTTTAAAATGGAGTATACAAAAAGCAAACTGGATTTTAAAAATTTCCTGGATGTAAAGTTTAAACTAAGATAGGCAAAATATACGAATGACATTTTATTTTTCCTATAAATCGGGAATGAGAGTCAGAAAACACACTGAAGTATATGAGAAAGCAATACTATAAAAGACCTTGTAAGCATTTATGTTGTTGTTAAATGTCATCAAGTTGATTCCGACTCACAGCGATCTGTATAGGGTTTCCGAGGAGCAGCTGGTGGGTTTGAACCACCAAGATTCTGGGCATGTTTATTTTATCTACAAATGAGGACGTCAAGCTTGGTGGACCCCTAAGCTCTCCTGCATCTCCAACATTGTATAAAAAAGGAAATCAGTTCATTAGGTTCCCTCAAAATTTGGAGGTGGGAAATTTTCAGTGCACCTTGACTGTCTTTTCATGTAATGTGTTTTTTCCTATAAAGTCTTTGTCTGGTATTGTTTAATGAAATATCCATTATCAAAACCAAACCCACTTCCATAAAGTCAATTCTGACTTCTTCTTGTTATGTGCTGTGGAGTCGGTTCCAACTCATAGCAACCCTGTACAGGGTCTCCGAGGCTATAAATTTTTACGGGAGTAGAAAGCCTTATCTTCCTCCCGCAGAACTGCTGACCGTGAGATTAGCAGCCCAATTCATAACCACTACGCTACCAGACTCCTAGCCACCCTTACATAGGGTTTCTGAGAGTGGAAATATTTATAGGAGCAGATAGCCTCTGTGGTTACCAACCCAATACCTAGCCCACAACACCACAATGACTTCTCACCTAAGGCAAAATGTTAATCCTGTTGTAAGAATATTGAAGATAGAATGAAAAAGCTGAATGACCCTTCTAATTTATGCTTTTACTTCTTAAGCCAATCTGTGTGTTTTTCATTCAAACTTTGACACTTTTGTCTTTTATTCCTTTGGACCTAAGGTGCGTGCAAATAATTGAAATATAATCATTGGGCTGGGCACATTCATTAATACTCCAGACATGGCCTTCATTTACATATTTCATTCGTTTTCTAATAAACACCAGTGGACCACCTAACACAAAAGCAAGAATCTTGACACTACCCCAGTTTCACTGTGCAATTTTAAAGCTCTTGCTATCTTAAATATAGTTTTGTTATTGTTGGCAACTTTTTTTAGGGCTGTATATTTGGTTTTCCCAATTTTTATGATAGAGATGTTCCAGGAAAATGCCATGCAAGTGCATCGTACATAGATAATTTATTGTTAGATTAGATGGGCTTTCAACCTTACTGGCTATTTGGCCTTGTTGATGTTGTTAAAGTGCCATTGATTCAGTCCAATTCATAGTGACCCTATATAGGGTTTCCGAGGACGACTGGTGGGTTTTAACTGCTGATCTTGCAATTCAAACTGTCCTTGCAGTCTACTGTATTATCCTGCATTATTATTTCCATTGTTCACTTTTATTATTAAATGTCCTTGTTTCTGACTCAAAGTGACTCTGTATGGAGTATAGGGTTCCCCAGGAGTGGCTGGTGAATTGAACTGCCAACCTGACGGTTCAAACCAACCTTGCAGTGCAGTGCTTTTCCTACAGTGCCACACCAAGACTATCTGACCTTAGGCAAATTAATTGTCCTGAACTTCATTTTATATGTTCCAGTGCCAGGTGTTTAAATATGTTTTAGCCTTGCTTGTCTGATGAATATTTTCAATGTGTATGTATGCTTGAGTGCTCAAATTCCCCACTAGATGGCACTAGTGTGTTGTTGAATGCAATGGTGACTGTCCATTGGAATCTGTTGTCATTCGAGGAAAAGCTGGTTAAAGAGTATGAAAAGTACAGCTAATTTTAGGCAGTATGAGAAAAGACTGCTTATACTGTAAAAAATAACAGTGTGTATAATGAGCACAATATTTAAGCCTATAAGGAATAGCAGATTAGTTAGGTCTCATGGAGCTTTTTTAACTGTTAAAAGCTTGCATTTCATTTTAAGTGCAGTGGGAAGTTATTGAATTTTAGGTATACAGGCGTCCCTGTTAATTTGTGTACATAAGCTCATTGTTGTTGTTGTTGTTGTTGTTAATTGCTGTCGAGTCAGTTCCGACCAATAGCGACCCTGTATAGGGTTTCCGAGGAGCAGCTGGTGAGCTTGAACCGCCGACCTTGCAGTTCAAATAGCTTTGCAGTCTGGCACATTAACCCACAGCGCCACACCAGGACTCATTGTAGTACATCTATATTCCAAATATACTATTAAAGAGATTGAAAAGAATATCCAAAAAGTTAGAAACAATATCTGTAACACCTGAACAAAAGACTCATCTAGAATATATAAGGAACTCTTATTAATCAACAAGAAAAAGACAGCACAAGAGAAAAACAGATTAAAGATTAGAACAGACACTTAACAGAAGGAGTTCCAGATGGCCAGATGCTCAGTCTCATTGGAAGTCAGGAAAATTCAAATTTAAATCATACATAAAATAATAAAAAGTACAAGCACCACCATGTGCATGTAAAGCAATGCATCATAAAAATAGAATGTTGAACAAAAGCAGGACAGAAAAAGTGCACGCAGTGTGATTTCATTTATATAAAACTGACAAAACTAAGTGATATTGTTTATGAGTGCACAGTGGTGGTGGTGATGATGGTAGTTTGCCATGGAATCAGTGGTTCTCCCTCATAGCAACCCTGTACAGGGTTTCCAAGGTTGTAAACCTCTATGGGAGTAGAAGCTATAAGGGCAAACAAGAAATTAAGTTTGAATGGGATGACTCCTGAGGAAGAGAGGAAGTTGCTGGAGTGATGGACCACCAGGAAGGAGGGTGCATCTACTCATCCTGTTGTGCTTTATGTTGTATGTACTTTTCTATATGTGTTTTTAAACTAGAAATGTTGTTGTAAAGTGCCATCGAGTCAGATCCAACTCATTGTGACCCTGTATAGGGTTTCCAAGGAGTGACTGGTAGGTTTGAACTGCTGACTTTTGTGGTTCAGTGCTTATCCTATGAACTGCAAGGCCAGTGGTTCACCTCTCCTGCTGCTCCTAGGAGACACTGTATAGGGTCACTGGCTCCTATGTTGAGAATGGATTGTGCATAATCAGGAATGGAACCCATGAGACCAAAATTGAGATGTGAGAAGATAGGGTCTGGGCAGTGGTGGGAACCGATAAGGGTCCGCATCTAAGAGGTAGGTTTAATTAGACTTGCTAATGCATTGTGTCTTCACTTGCTAATGGCTGTGTTTCCTCTTTTTTTGTGTGTGATAGTTCATAAACCAGAAAAGGTAACATGGACAGAAGCAGCTGGAACCATTCGGGATGGAGTCCTAGCTTACACAGCTCTGCATTACCTTTCTCATCTCTCTCCTGGAAAATCAGTGCTGATAATGGATGGAGCAAGTGTGGGTGTTACTAGTTTTGTTTAGAAACAGATCAAAGTGCAATAAGCTTAGGGAATTTATAAATGGACCATCTATTTGCTAATGGTATATTGATTTCTTTACCAAACTCCCATTTTGTTATAATAAGCTGGTTTTATCAATCAGAGATAAAAGTTAGATCTCACATGATTAGTTTGCTATTACTGTGAATCTGCTTCTGTTTTAAAAAGCAGATTCATGCCTGTGATACAAAGCCTGAACTGGTTCATGAACCAGTTTCTTTGAAGGGCATACCTTAGAGCTTGTTACCAATTTTTTGCCATGTCCCCCACACTTATACTTAATGTTCATAAAGTGTCACATTTTATAGATGGATCACACAAGATCAGAAAGGTGCTTATTTAAATATATTACATGTTTCATCAGAAAAGTAGTTCAGGACACTATGCAAGCATGTATGAAAATACAATCTAATTTTTAAATGTTACAAAACTTGTGGTGAATTTATCAAAGTTTTGTTTTCAATCTGGCTATGGATAAGAATGCTTTCCTCCCATGGTTTTCATTATCAAAAAGGCAGGATCTCCAACATTGGCTTCAGCCTGTTGTCCAACATCAGGATTGTAGTGTTCTCCTTAAATTCCCCAGGGTGTTGTTTGAAGTGCTTTAAACTTGAGAGTTAGCTAGACTACCCTATGCATTTGTGTGATTAGCTTAACATCATGCTGACAAGGCCATTATTAAGAGCCCATTTTTCTCTTGCCAAGCTGTATTTCTGAATGCAACCCTCCATCCTTAAGAATACATGTTGTGGTTAGCATGAGTGTGAGCATCTGACCTAAGCAGCTTTTTCACCACCCCATCTCAAGAAGGAAGTCAGCCAGATGGTTCTCCTCCTAGACTTATCTAGAGGCCTGGTGTGGCATGGCAGAATAATGCACTGGACCGCAAGGTTGGTTTAAAAGGCAAAGTCGGTCATTCAAATCTACCAGCCACTCCTAGGAAACCCTACACAGGATTGTTCAGAGTCCGAGTTGACTCAAAGGCACTTAAAACAACAGCAGACTTAATCTGGATTTTTTTTCCTTTTTCTATTAGGTATCATTTAAAAATATACTGAAGTATTTATACTTTACCAAACAATTTTAAAAAATACCTTAACTATGGCCTTTGTCCTATATCTGTTAATCCATCATGTTTTGTTTTTTTACTTCACAGACACTTGGTACAATAGCAATTCAGTTAGCCCACCACAGAGGAGCCAAAGTGATTTCAACAGTATGCAGCCTGGAAGACAAGCAGTGCCTGGAGAGACTTAGGCCTACTATAGGTGGGTAATATTACTCATTACAAACTTTACAATGTACACTTTTGAAGAGAAATCACCTTTAAAACTGTACTTATAAACAGTGTCCCAAATGAAAGGCACTTGGAAAACATGCTTTGTTTCTGTGTAGTTAAAAGTAACAAGTAAAACATGATGGATTAACAGATAGAGAGCAAAGGCCATAGATAATTTTGTTTTATAAATTGTTTTGTAAAGTATACTACTTTAGTACACTTTTAAATGTTACCTAATAGAAAAAGGAAAAAAAAAAATGTACAGATAAGTCTAGGAGGAGAAGCATTTGGCTTACGTGATGACTGTAATTATTTTTTTAACCTACATCGTTCAATGTTTTTTCATCTCTGCAACATTTTTATCACTCTAAGTTTGAACTAGGTGAACTTAGGCACAATTTAGAAAAACTTGATGTCGATATGATTTTAACCAATACATCAATATATTATGACGTCACATTTCCGCAGAGACATGCCTCTAAAATTCTATATTTTCTGTGATGCATTAGAGAGGGAGATGATCCATTTACACAGAAACACTGGCCAGATATAGTTCATTACGAACAGGACACAATGGAGACTGGTGAGTTCTTGAAAAGAATTAAACATGTTAAAAACAACTATGAATGTGGAAAAGAAGAAAAGAGGAAAGGAGAATGATAGGAATGGAAAAACTAACAGATGAAGGAAAAGGCATGAGCGGACTAAATGAAAGGCAGACAAAAGGCAAGTAGAGTTGATTGAGTGCTGGCATGCGTGTTATCTCCATTAGTCCCCAGCAGAACCTGTGTTGTGGCTGACTAGGAAACAGCATCTCTTTAGCTTCTCCAAGGATCTACAACTAGAAAACTAGCTGGAGTGGAATTTGAACCCAGGCCTGCCCCACATGATTTCCATTGGAACATTATGTTTCTGACAAAAATAACCAAGAAATAGAAGGAGATAAGGCAGGGGGCACAGAAAGGAAAAAAATAAGAAAAAGATTTTACAGATTTAAAATTAGAATGGAGAAAAACGCATAACACAATGTTGTCAAAGAGAGAGGTTTCTTCTTGGTCATTTTGCCTTTATGGGTTGCTTCAGTCCAGAGTCTCCCTCTCCTGCCCCCAACTGTTAAAATTTCTAGATCACTGCTAAATGATACCTCTAATCTGAGGAGCTTTTGAGAGGAATTTTCTTCAACAAGAAGGTGTTAAAAAAAAACAAAGGGATGCAAGCAAGAGTTCAGGTGAGTAGAGGTAAGTAAATACTGTTAACTGATGATACATGGAGGGGATTGCAGTCATTGTAATGAAGCAAAATATATGATTTGTTAAATATAAAACTGTTGATCTGCTCTGTTCGCAATAATAAGTTAAAAAAAAACAAACAGAAAAATGAAACCAACGTATACTTTCAATTGCCTTTTCAAATTTTGAGAAATTTTTGTAATTGTCTCATTGTATTGCTCTAATTAATACAGTATTTTAAAGCAGCCAGTTAACATTACTTTAAACTTTACTCACTTTGCTAAAAATGACTATGTTACTTTTCTGTGATCCTCAAGATTTTTCTTCATCTTGGGGAGCCCTTGCTGGGGGTCACAGGGATTTCTATTACTGAAAAAGATAAAATAGCCTCTGTTGATGTTGAGTGCCATTGCATTGGTTCTGACTCTTAGCGACCCTATCTATATAGAGTTTCTGAAGAGCAGCTAGTGGGTTTGAACCACCGACCTTGAAGTTACCAGTTCAGTGCTTATCATACAGCACTACTAGGACACTAGTAGATAAGTAAAGAGCCCTGTCTGCACAGTGAAAACGCTCTCTGCTGCCAATCAAAAGGTCAGCAGTTTGAACCTACCCCAGGAGCTGCCCAAGAGAAAAGACCTTGGGATCTATTCCTGTATCCCCCTAGGGAACATTATGGAGCAGTTGTATTCTGTCATATAGAGTCACTGTGAGTGAAAATGGACTTGAGGGCACACAGCAACAGTACATAAATACTATAATGTACCTTTTTTAGCTCTTGCAAGTATCATTGCCATAGAATTGATTCCAACTCATGGCAACCCCATGTATGGAAGAGTAGAACTCTGTTCCATAGGATTTTCAATAGCTGATCTCTTCAAAGTAGGTCTTCAGCCTTTCTTTCAAGGCCCTTCAAGGTGGACGGGAACTTGTAACCTTTCCATTAGCAACTGAGTGCATTAGCCATTTGCACCAACCAGGTACTTCAACTCTATTCAGTCTGAGCAAATGTAAGAAATTGTTTAATCTTTTAGTTCATATCTTAATAAACATGTACTAGCAAACCAGCCTGGAGCAGCTAGAGGAACAGAAGATACTTTGTGAAAGAAAGTCCAGCAGGAAAAATCAAAAACAAAAATGGCAGTTTGAATGGCTATTACAAGAACAAGCAAGTTGTTCACAGGGGAGCCATCAAGGCAAATAATCAAGTCCCTTCAGGACAAACCCTCCTGCAAGACTGAAACTCAAAGGGTTCATAAAAGCAGCCATGTAAGTAAGCTTGCTGGTGACCATGTTAGTCTATTGGTGAGTGGGAGTGGTGGAAAGGCTACAATGAAGATATGGTCTGAGTTCGACCACATTCTATAAACCCCCATCGACCTGGAGATGAGAGAGAGAAGAGAAAGGGCTGGTTGGTACCAAGTATGGTGAGACCTGGGGTCTCCTGAGCCCATGGACAAAGACATAGCTATGGAGTGTTAGAGCTGAGTCCAGATGATATGAAGTGAAGGGAGATGCACAAGAACACTCATACTTGCAACTAGTACCCATTTGACCTAGCTTGGATGACTTGAAGATCACAACTCAACTAAAAGAAGATAAAAAAAATTTGGTAAAGGTAACAAGTGTAAATTGCTACAATTTGATGAACTTGCCCTATAGTTATGGATGTAGTAGCTCAAAATACCAACTGAGAGGGAAGGTGTATTCATCCTACCCCCTCTATAGGCAGGGGTGATAGGGATGCGCAACTTAGACATTGGCTACCTAAAATGTTGGGATTATAAAGGCACAAAATGACTGGCTTACAATTTTTCAAGAGGGAGTGTAGTTTCAGAGTGTGCAGGGGAAGGTAGACTCCCCACTAAATAGTTTTCATCTTGTCTAGATAGGTCTGGTGAAAGGAGATGAGGAGAAGATTCTAATGATTCAATAGTGAGTAATTGTTTTCATGACTAATTGCGATTGTCACAACCGTAAAGGTAGAAGTTTTGTAACATAAAGTGGGAAGTAGGTAATCATACATTCCAGCAACAGAGGACCCTAGGACATCAAGGGAGAAGAGCCCGATTGGAATGTGGGACCCTATCCAGAGAAGCAGCGACAACAGAGAGGAAGGCAGAGATGGGGACATGGACAGAGGAAGCAGCTGAGGACTCTAGACTCATGGAAAGAGAAGGACTGTGCTAGTGGCCAGGGGGCAGGCTGACAGAATGTGCCCTTTGTTTGTTTAATTGATT